CTTAAAATGATGGAAACACTTAATTAAAAACAGATCAAACTTTCATACCGGAAACAGGTTCTTCAGGAACTCAGAATCAATTGCTGGGGCTTCAGCAATCCTAGTAGCCCAAGAGAGCAGCATAATCAAAGAACCAACCGCTAGGGAAAGAGTTGAAGTCAGCCATGGGTAAGGGAAGACATTGAGCACTTTCTTGTTGTATATATTGAAAACCACATTCAAAGCCCACCAAGTGGCAAAGTAAATGCCGATTTTGAGCTTCTGGGCACCCTCAGATTTTGACACTTCATCAACGTTAGGATCCGACGGCCTTGATTCCCCAGACCCTTGGGCTCTGCAACTAATCTTTGGGGTTCTTGATTCCAAAGATACCAACTTTGCAAGTGAGGTAACGTGTAAAGGCCTCTTAATTGAGATTTCACCGTTCAGAACATTGGATTTCGTGAGCAGTGGCAGAGAAAGAAACCTCGGTGTTGTCGGATTCAAATTTAACCTCCTCGTCGGAATCAAACCCGACTGTGAGATTGAAAAAGTCGATTGCTTTACAGAAAAAGCCATCTATTCTGAACAATGAAAAAGAAGATATGGCTAAACCTAAAATCCTTTTAAACCCTCTAAAGAATTGAATTTCGGCGGATTGACCAAGAAACTATAAGAAGAAAATATCGGAGCAATGTTTTTTTTTTATATTTTTGTGCCCGAACAAGGCGGCGGGCTGGGGTAGGTGGCAACTACACTGGTGAGAGGTGGTGAGACTGAGAAAGAAGAAGAAGATTTAAAGGTTGGTGGCATGAGTCCCAGGTATCACAAACTATGCACAACGTACGATTTCCAATTGAGTATCTTTACTAGCATCTGCGTTGGATCTTCGGTAAGCAAAGACGGAATAATGTACTATCGTATTAAGGATTCTAACACCAACCGTAGGATTTTTGTTTCAAATTTGATTTTACTTCTCTTTCTTTTAGATATTGAATTCAACTAGAATAAGTTTTAGAAATTGCTCTAAATAGGAGCAAAAACGTTTTTGAAATTCCAAAATAGGAGTATCATACAGAGTATTTTTTATTTTCTGAATAGGAGTAATCTGCAAAGTTTGGAAAAAATGTAATATTTTAAAAACTAATAATGTCAAACTTGGCAGAAATTTACTCCTATTCACAGAATAAAAAATATGATACTCCTATTTTGGAATTTCAAAACTTTTTTACATCTATTTACGGAATTCTCTAAATAAGTTTTTCAAAAACGGGTCTTCCTAATCAACTTCTAAAAAGGAGTTTCTAAGAGTATTTGAAACACTAGAACTCTAGAAGGATTATAAATAGTTTTAAAAAATAGATGTAAACATCCCTCAAATTTAACACAAGCAAAATCATATGTGTGAAATTTTTTAGAATATTCTAAAGATATATGAAATTCTCTAGATATTTTTCTGAAATTATAGACATTTATGATCCGTACTTGGAATACACTAGAAATATATAGGATATGGGAGGTTTTAGCACATGCAAATAGAGGAATACTCTAATTTTATGATATAGTACTCCATATATATATATAAATAGGGGCAAAATTCCTCATTCTTAAGGTACCTATTTAGTGTATATAAATAGGGGCGCTATATATAATACTCTGTATATCAGTATATGAATATCGTAGACTGTGATAGAATATGAGAAAAAAAAGTACCAGGGACGAAGCCAAATCACTCGTGGTAATGTAATTAAATAAAGAATACTTTTGAGAGAACTATCAAATAAGCCCTCGAATTTCATAAAAAGTGCAAATAAGCCTTTTTATAGGAGGCTCTACCCGGTGTTCGCCATTTGAGCGGTTTCCAGTGGAATTTTTTGATAAAATTTTTGACCATCTTTTTTCATTAAGTCTAGTTTACGCATACCAAATTTCAGCTAAACATGCAATCGGGAAGGCAGTCAAATGAATTTTCGAAGATAACTGCGCAGTTAGGTAGCGCAGCATATTTCAGAAAATCATTTGACTGCTTTCTCGATTGAATTTTAGCTGAAATTTGGTATGGCTAAACTAGACTTAATGAAGAAGATGGTAAAAAAAATTCATCAAAAAATTCCACCGAAAACCGTCCCAAATGGCGACAGCCGGACAAAGCCTCCTGTAAAAGAGCTTATTTGCACTTTTTATGAAAGTTCGAGGGTTTATTTGATAGTTCTCTCCTGAAAGTTCGAGGACAAAAGAAATTACAGGAAATTTTTTATTTTTAAAGTTTAAACCTTTTTAAAATTTGAGTGAACCATTCAAGCACCCTAGCAATAGCAATACTATGGTTGTATGAATATGTTCAATTATTTTGTCAACTGTTTTGTTATATAAGGAGCAAGGTTGTCAAAATCTCGATTTAAATCGTAAAATCGTACGATTTTACGATTCTATATTAATAAATCGATTCAAATCGCAGGTAAAATCGTAAAATCATAAACCCATACAAAATCTTAAAAAATCGTACAAAAATCGTGCAGAACCGTTTAAAATCGTAGCAAAAATCGTAATAAGCTTTTTTAGTGAAAATGGTTCAAATTTAATAAAATTAACTACTAACACAATTACATTAATTATAATATCAATAGTATATTTAAAAAAGTAATGGACTCTTGTGTTATTTAATTATTTTTATGTTTAATGTTATTATTCAAAACATTTACATTATTAAAATAGTTTATAAGTCTTGTTTGGACCTTGTAGGTATAGTTTTATGTAATGAAATGATATAATACCATTAATTTGCAGCATAATATTAATATTGATTTATTTTATACTTATTAAGATATGTTTGATAAAATCTTACGATATGCAATTCGATTTTCAAAAACATCTACCATTTCGATTCAAAAATACGAATTTAACAACCTTGATACGGAGTATGTTAAACAAAATGTGAGGCTACGTTTCACAATAGTCCGTATTTTATTATGTTAATACTACTTTAGAATTTCTAAATATATGATATGATCTTTAAATATTAGACTTTCAAAATGTTTTTGCTCCTATTTAGAGCAATTTCTAATTCAAATATTACTCCCTCCGTCCCTAAAAGGATTGCCAAGTTTGACCGGCACGTAGAATAATAAAGTAAAAATTGTGTGTGTTTAAGCAGAAAATAATTATTCTAATAACAATCTAATTGTGAGATAGGGAATCGTACAAGATAATACTCAAAGAATTTATGATCAACGGATGAATCAATATTGATGAATCTCTAAATGAAAAACTAGAATGAATCTATTCTGTTAGCCAGTAAATCATGCCTTTTCCCTTCATTGCTAGTCTATTTAAAATAAAAGTCTAATTCTATCCCCCACGTGGGTGAACTGCCCGGCGAAATGGTAGTGTTTCCTACTAAAGCGGGAGTCGTTCCTCCATTTTCTCCTCAAGCTCTTAGGCATCCTTATCCATCCCGTCACCTTATTTAATTAAGCTGGACTCTTTAAAACTCTGACGGTAACGTGGGCCGATCCGTTTGACAAATCCAGGCCCAACAGTGGGCTGATCCGCTTGACAAATCCAGGCCCAACAATTGCCCCCAAAATTCGAAGTAGTAATTGTCGCTACTTTGATTCAATAGGTCGGTTACTTCTTTGAATTTTAAACGTCTTGATGCCACCTCGAAATTGGTAAAACCGTCAGTCTTCTTTCTTATCGAGCAGCCAACCCTCTGTCAGACTAATCCCTTCTCAGTCATAATCCCTCTCCTGAGAAAACAACTCTCGTCTATCTCTTGCAGAAGCTCTTTGTGAGAAACCATGGAATCTCAGCAGTTTATCCCTCAACATATCTTGGATCCAAAGAATGCAAAACAAGCCAAACTCTCTGAAAGTCATATCGATACTATCAAGAACGGTTCCGGATTTCCAGCGCATGCATCCATCCGGTTCCCGGCCGCCAATGAGCGGGTTGACTGGCATTGCGATGGTTGGGTCAATTTCTTCACGTATCCCTTCAAAATCGGTATGAAGTTTCCTTTTTCTTCTTTAGCTAGAGATTTCTTGGCCTTTGTCAAAGTTTCCCCTTCCCAAATAATGCCACAAGTATGGAGGGTTCTTCGTGGGCTGGAAGTATTGAGTGAAAAACACAGCATCCCTTTCACCTTCGAAGATTTGGGCTTCACCTACGATCTTCGTTCTTCTGGAGCTGGACGGTTCACACTGGCTGTTAAAGATGCTCGCGAAGCGCTGATATTGAGGGCGGACAAAGCCAATGATCGCGGCTGGATGAGTCTGTTCTTCTTTGTACGGAAAGATTCCCTAGGTTCTGAGGGGGCGTTTCTTGAAGAGAGTTTGCATAAAGGTATCTTGACACCTTCTTGCTTTGTATATGAATTTCAAGTGTATTTAGTTGCTATATGACTGGGCTGTAATATGTCGAGATGCATTACTGTTTCCATCGTCTGCTTTTGTAGATAGGAAGACAATCCCATTGAGCTATGGTCCGAACTCTGAAGGAAGGACTGCTAGAATTTTATCTATAACCACCGCCGAGCGGACCTTTGGGAATCTAGTGGCTGATAACGAAGGTATGTCTCCCACCCCTGACCATTCTCGGTCCGTTGGATTAAGGCGTTCTCGCCGTAATATTCAGAATGTCCCTAACGATGTCCAAGGCTCGCGTGCGGTCTCCGTAGACGATTCAGACCATGAATCAGAAGGTTCAAGAGGTGGTGGTGAAAATGCAAGTGCCTTTGTTCCTCTCCAAATGGTGTTCCCCGTTGGTCAGGACTCCTGCCCTCTTCCAGCGAAACGTTCTGCTCAACATGCTGGTACTCGTTTCTGTTACTTCAATTATATGTCAAATGCTACTTTGTCTTGAATGTTAAAATATGTACATTTTTTCTTTTATCACAGCTGTTTCTTCGTCTAGCACGCGACTGATGCCTTCTGATTATGACCTCCTTAACATGGTTTCTAGAAAGAAGAAAGTTACATCCAAGCTGGCCTCTGGTTCTTCCAAAACTCCGCATTGCCCGAATATTGAAATGAAAGCCGTTCCTCCTCTTCCAGTGAATGCCGCTGCCAATTCTGACTCTGGTGTGAAGATGAACGCCTCCTTTTCTCGTGACTTCTGCTGTTTGAAGGACGCTTTTATGATGAGAAGTGAAATGCCTCAGGTTCTGCTTCCTTCCTCGTCTGCTGCATTTGCTGATATCTCTTCAGCTGGCCTGGCATTGGCTTCGTCGGCCTACGCTTTCCAGGTACCTTATCACTTTATAAATGTTCAGTATTTGTCTAAATTTAAACTTCCTTTTAACGAGAGTCTTTTCAAGCTGACAGAGTGTTCAAGCTAGCCTTGTTGCTGCAGAAAGATTGGTTTTACTGGAAAAGGCTGTGGATGAATTAAAAGGGAAGGAGAAAAGTTCTCAAGCTCGTGCTGACGTTGATGCTCGAATGATCCAAAGTCTTCGTGGTGACAACTCGACCTTAGTGAATCAAATTTCGACCTTGAAAACCCGCATCAAGCTATTGGAGGCGTATGGGAGGAAAAAGAAGCAAGAAGTCACTGACGCAGCCTGTTTTTATGCTTGGAAGACTAGGGGTGAACTGATGGCTTCATTCCTCGCAGGTGAGATGTCAAACTGGACAGCAGAACAGGATGTTGCTACCTGGTTAAAGCTTCAGGAAGAGATGGATCCCCCGATTGGAGAGGACGGTTTTGACGTGGGTCAGTCTGATGACGAAGCTGAGTCCAGACGTTCCCGGGATAACTAAATATGTTCTTTCCTCTCTACTTACTTGACTTTAAACACTTTCTGCTTTCAAAACTTACTCTGTTATTACTACCCTTGCATTATGGTTTCCTGCCAGAAAATTTAATGCTTCCCTGCGGATTCATGGATCTTGTGCTCGGTGGTTTATCCAAGCCAAGTCCATATCGTTTTGTGACTCCGTCGCTACTCTTTTTTATCAACTGAATACTGTTTTTGTTAATGCGTGTGTTGTCGTGTATGTCGTTTGTGTGTGAAACATGCCATGTGTGTGCAGAGTCATATATATGTTTGTGTTTTGGCCAAAACGTATTCGGTTTCATGGAACTTCATTCATGGTGTTTTCATAATGAGCCCCATGTCCCCTGTACATTGACGTTTCGTCATGAGCAAATTCGGATGTTCTACCTGTTGTTCTGGCGTTTGCGTCACCTGGTATTTAGATCTTAACCTGTCATAGTCCTGCGATGATACCACACCATTGGGGTCGGCCATTGGCTTAGGGCCAACGGCCCTCCGACGGTCAAGTTAGTAAACGATGAATTGTATTTACTATATTCAAGATTACGTGAAACGTAATTAATTACCTGTGACTTTGCCAATTTTGTGTGTCTTCCTGTATTTAAAATTATTGTTAGGGTCGGTCGTTGGCCTTAAGCCAACGGCCCTGCGACGGTCAAGTTAGTTACTTCATTCAGCAATAGGGACAGATATGCAGGAAAAAAAACTCATATTAAAAATGAAAACGTTTTAAATGTACCGCATTCCAACTTCGAGAGATTTGTTTACCATCGATTGAATCCAGACGGTATGCCCCCTGACCAACGACGTCAATGATTTTGTAAGGCCCTTCCCAATTAGGACTAAACTTTCCAGCCGCTTCGTTGTCAAATGCTCTCCTCAAGATCCAGTCTCCCCTCTTGAACACTTTCGCTCGGACGTTTTTGTTATAGCTTTTCGCAACCATCTGTTTATATGTCTGCAAGCGAATCTTGGCTCGTTCACGGATCTCATCAATGGTGTCCAAGTCATGCGTCAACTCCACATTGTTCAATTCCTCAGTCATGAGTCCATATCTTGAAGAAGGTACTTCAATTTCAGCAGGAATTACTGCTTCGCAGCCATACACAAGAGAGAATGGGGTCTGTCCGGTTGCATTTTTTGGAGTTGTCCTGTCTGCCCATAGTATTAAAGGCAAGTCGTCGGCCCACCTGCCTTGTGCCTTTTCAAGCCTTTTCTTTAAGTTGGCAATGATGATTTTGTTGCTAGATTCAGCCTGTCCATTAGATTGTGGGTACCTGGGTGTCGATGTTTCCAATTTGATATTGTAACTCTCACAGAAACGTCTGGTCTTAGCACTTATGAACTGAGATCCGTTGTCACAAACGATTTCTGATGGAACGCCGAACCTGCAAAGTATGTTTCTCTTGATAAACGAAATTACCTGGTCATCTCGAATCCGATGGAATGGCTCAGCCTCCACCCATTTTGAAAAATAATCCATCATTGCCAGCATATATACTTTCTGCCCCGGCGCCTCTGGCAATTTTCCTACGATGTCCATACCCCATTTCATAAAGGGCCATGGTGATAGGACTGGATGAAGCGACTCAGAAGGTTGATGACGGATTGGTCCGTGTAGCTGACAAGGCTTGCATCTTTGAGTGAAAATGGCAGCATCTTCTCTCATGGTCGGCCAGTAGTTTCCAAATCTAAGAGCTTTGTTAGACAGACTTCGCCCGGGTGCGTGGTTGCAACATTCCCCTTCATGAAGGTTTTTCAGCACTTTGATGGCTTCTTGAGGTGTCAGACATCTTTGATACGGGCCTGCGACAGATCTTTTAAATAGAACACCGTCAATTAGTAGAAAATTGCTCACCTTAGATAGGAAGGCCTTGGCCTCTTTTTTGTCTTCCGGGAGAGTATTGTGCTTTAGATATGCTATGTATTGTTGCGTCCAGTCTTCTTGTGTCGGGGTTTCAATGGTAGAGACAACCTCTGATCTGTAAATTGTTGGACTCATCAAGTGCACATAAGGGATGTTGCGATTAATTTCTGCCCCCAGACATGATCCGACCGCGGCCAGAGCGTCAGCTTGTGTGTTTTCTTCACGTGGGACTTGTTCAAGGGTTATCTCATCAAACGCCGTTATCAACTCTCGGACAATTTGCAAATAAGATGTCATCTTGGGGTCTTTTGCTGCATATACACCATTAGTTTGATTAATTATCAGTAAAGAGTCGCATTTTACCTCCAAGATTTTGATGCCCAAGTCCCTTGCCAATGTGAGTCTGACGATCAGTGCCTCGTATTCTGCCTCATTGTTTGTAGCGGTGAAATCACAGTGTACTGCTTGGAGCATGGTGTCCCCTTGTGGTGCCTTTAGTACCACGCCCAGGCCTGCGCCGTTCTGGTTTGACGCTCCGTCAGTATGCAACATCCATTTTTGCTTTGGTAATCCGTCGATCAGAGTGCTGGTCTCTTTTTCTGCCTCATCTTGGAGCTTTGGACTAAAGTCCGCCACAAAATCTGCAAGTGACTGTGATTTCAGGGCTGTTCTTGGTTCAAATCTTATGTCATAAGCTCCAAGTTGAATCGACCATTTAGCCATGTGACCTGTCAATTCTGGTTTCCTCATGATTGACTTCATGGGATAATTAGTTCTAACACAAATGGTATGTGATTCAAAATAAGGGCGTAATTTAATCGAAGCAACGACCAAAGCTAAAACTAACTTTTCAAGTAAGGCGTACCTGGACTCCGGGCCATTTAGGGATTTACTTACATAATAGACTGGAGTTTGGTGCCTCTGTTCTTCTTTTTTCAATACTGCACTAACGGCGTGCTCTGAAACGGCCAGATAAAGCTGCAATTCGTCTTTGTCTTTGGGTTTTGCGAGCAGCGGTGGCGACATCATGTATTCTTTTAATTGCTGAAGCGCCTGCTCGTGCCGATCTGTCCATTCAAATTTTTTGTTCTTTCTCAAAACGTCGTAAAACAAATGGCACCTGTCTGACGATTTCGAAATGAAGCGATTCAGAGCTGCGACTCGTCCCGTCAACCTCTGGACATCTTTGACGGATTTTGGAGATTCAATGTCAATGATTGCTCGTATTTGTTCCGGGCTTGCCTCTATTCCTCGCTCACTGACGATATATCCCAAAAATTCCCCTGATGTCACTCCGAAAGTACATTTCGCCGGATTGATCTTCAGATTGTATTTCCTCAGACTTCTGAAGGGTTCCATCAGGCGATAGATATGATCTTCTTTTTTCTTTGATTTGACGATCATGTCATCAATATAAACTTCCATAGTATCTCCCATCAGATCTTTGAACATCAAGGTGACTAGTCTCTGAAACGTCGCTGATAGAATATATCTCTTAGATTCTAGAGAGAAGTGAGAGCTAGAGAGAGAAGTGCAATATATGCTTCAATAGAATGATTTTGTAACCCCTATAACTACTCCCAAGGGGAGTATTTATAGAGAAAATTAGGGTTGGGCTCCCAAGCCTTGGGCTTGGGAGGCCCATTTACAACTGGACCGCTACTGGGCCGAATACAAAGCCACTAATGGGCTGTACAAATGAGTAAGTATAGGATCCGACTCTGGGAGGTCTTCGTGGCCGACGAGGGCACGGCCGACGAGGGCACCCGAGTCCCTTAGACTCAGGACCGTAATCTGAGTTGGCTTCCTCTCGGCCGACGGGGGCGTCTTGGCCGACGAGGGCGCCACTCTGTTGTCTTGTGCTCTGTTCTTCCGAGTATGTGGGTCCTGGGGCTCAGACCCATATACTCCATCAGGAGTCCCCCACTCTCTAAGCTGAGACGTAGACGAAGTGAAGGAGAGTAGATTTCTGTGCTTTGTTGCTTTTGGCCGACGCGGGCATTTCCAGGCCGTTAGCCGTTGCGGCGTTGGCGTTGTTTTCTCTTTGGTGATCCTGTTCTGTGCCTTGGCCGTTACCTGTTCCTCGCTGTGGCGGGGAGGCCGTTGTTTCCTTAATTTGTTTTGGGACGATGAGTGTCCTTCTTTCAATGGTGGACGTTGATGGCACGCTTTCCCTTTCCTGGACGTTGGTGGTTGAAGTTTGTTTGGGCCGGTGAAGCTGTTGGGTTTGTTCCTTGCTTTGAGGGCGATGGCATCATTTTCTTTGTGTGGCCGATGAGGGTGTTTGCGATTAATTCTCGAAGAGCCCGTTAAGATTAATAGGCGCACTCCTTTTGGCCGTTGCTGGTTGGCCTTCGTGTTTTTTTGGCCGAAGAGCCCGTTAAGATTAATTGTTGGCGGAGGACGATGTGGCCATGCTTTGTGGCTACTTTGTTCGCACTTTTTTGTTTTGTTGAGGCCGGTGTAGCCCCCCAGTCCCCCACTGCTTCAGGCCGAAGAGAATGAGGGGTGAAGGAGTTGCTTGAGTCCCTGGCCGAAGCGGTCTCGCCGTAGTCCCCCTGAGTCCAACTCTCATGGCGATTTTCTGGCCAAGGTAACCCTGTGGGAGAACCCTTGTGCACAGATCGCTTGTAGAGAGTTATCATCAAGGGTTATTACGAGGAGACGAAGGCTGCGGGCTATTTGTCCCCTTTGTCCTGTGGCCGTTACGTTCCTGGCCGTTGCCATCCTCTTATTGTTTGGCATTTGTGATATTGGTGAGTAAGTGGGACGTTGTGGGCACTTGCTGGCGGTTGTAAAGCCGTTGAGCGTGTGTAGGCCGTAGAGTCTGATTTGCCAGTGGTCCGTTGATGTGGCTTGGTCCTGGCCCGTTGGTGACGTGGTGGCCCCCCAGTGGTGGCCGTTGATGTGGCCATTGGGTGAGTGCCACGTGTAGTGACCGTTGGTGGGGGGGTCTATAAATACCCCTTCCCCTCCGACGAAGAATCACATTTGCATTCTGAATTTGTCGAAGTGCTGGCCGATTTTCTAGAGAGATAAACTCCCAAGCCTGTTCTTCGTGTTCTTCGTTGTTTGAGGTTAGTGTTCATCACGATCTTCCTCACTTTTCATATTTTGCTCCGTAAGTAGTTGATCTAGTGTTAGGCGTTTAAACACCTTTAGATCGTAAGTTGTTCTCCTTAAGTCCGTAAAAGTAGTAATGAA